GGTAACGAATACTTGATTTTGGTTCATAAGACTGATTTTTAATTCGTTGCATCATCCATGTCTCTTTCCTGCTAAAATTCACTATCTTTATCACGTGTTTCCCAAAAAAAACTATACAATAATAACCTATGCACCCTATTACATTCTCAAATTTCGTAACTCATATTTCTCCGATCAACTGGCCGGGGCCACGCTAGTTGGTCTTGAAGCCCAGGAAGCTTTGGACCGGAACAGAGCGAAGAGGAGGCTAGGCAGGGATTTAATTGGATTGGACCAGCAACTCTTTTGGATTGGAACACGAGACATGGAAATAGAGATGTGAGAATTATTTTTGTGGACCGGGTTGTTTGTCCTCTTATGAGCTGGACACGAAATAATTAAGGGGAGGTGATTATTGGGGAGACGGCAGCTTGTTAGCGCAAGGAAATTAACTGGAAACAAATTCTTTGGGGCAAAAGGAATTGGCGAGCGGCGATTCGACTTTTCGAGCGGAACTTGGAGGAATTAACCAGCAGCGAGGACAAGCGCTAGAGCAGCCGTTCCAGTATTTTCGTTCCTTTTCTTTTGCTTAATTAGTTTCATTAATTATTTTCATGATGAATAAGAACATGATTATATCTTTTGATTTTGTCATGAACTAAATCTCAATTTCTAGGGGAAACCCCATAGGATGTAGCTATTTCTATATTTGATGGATTGATTCATATTTCTTTTCTTCCAATCTCTATTGCATGAAATTGCTTAATGATTTGTGTTGACTGGCCCCAATACAATGATTTGTAGTTAATTATGTTATTAACAACAGTGAAACCCTAATAACCGAACCTATTTCATGTGACATAGTAATTTATCGAAGTGACAGTGGATTAAATAAGGTGCTATGCGGTCTTGATTGAGATGTCGGTCTAAAGGCTAAATAATTAATTCATTGAGCTACGACAGTAGGATTTGAATTGATTGTTTAGTACGTAGTGATTCCTGACAGGGATAGCTAGCAAAGTAGAGATATCCTGGATGTAGAGATATGGATTAAACTGATTGGAATATGTGAATTAATTTGGATATGATATGTAGTGAATTCCGGTGTTTCTCCTAGAGTTTTCTCCATTGAATTTCTCCCGACAGTTTTCATTTAGTTAATTTGCTTATTTTATTTTGCTTTTAGAAATTAGTCTCATTAAACTATTTTCACTTATAGTTTGCTCATAAAATTGATAGAACTTAAGGTTGTACCAGTCCCTGAGAGACGATACCAGGACTTTTCGGTTTACTACGAGATAGGAATTGAAGCTATACGCTTTTGCCCTATCATACACCAAGCAAATGAACTTCTCTTTGCTTTGGTGAGCGTAGCCAAACCATCCCTCGAACGAGCATATTTGTTCTTCATCACTTCTGTCCAAAGAGTGTGATCATTTGTAGCTAGTCTCTAGCTGCCTTTAGCAAGCATAGCCAGATTGGTAGCACGAGTTGGCCTGATTCCCGCTACAACCTGACTGCGAGATAGAGTTAGTTGGTCTCAAGCGATAGGGTGGAATTTAGTTTGACCCTTTTCTTCTCCCCACACGAACTGCCGGTTAATAATGTGAAGAGAATTGCTAACAGACACCAGAAGTGATTCTGAAAACATAGAAGTTGAAATCTATCTCAACAAAGTACTCTGGGCTGCCAAAGAGAGGTGATGTGTTTTCCCATAAAGCAAGTTTCTTTTGGATCCTTAGGCAGATTTCTTTGTATCCAGCTTTCGTAACTCGCCCATTAATCATATTAAATCCCAAATATTTGCCCAGGTCGCTAGTCAAAGGGTGGTTGTTCCATTTCTGAGTTGTGTTTTTTGGTGACTGATATTAGCTGACACAATAATGGAAGACTTCGAGAGATTCACTTTTTGGAGCAAACTCGCACATAAGTCATCGAGGTATCTTCTAATGACATCAATTTGGTTGTGCTCGGCTTCTGCAAAGAGGATGAGATCATTTGCAAAGAATAAATGAGACAAATTAGGTCCATTAGGGGAAAGAGAGATAGGCTTCCAATGTTTATCATTGACCTCTTGTTCAATGCGATGAGCCAATCTCTTCATACACAGAAAAAATAAGTAAGGGGAAAGAGAGTCTCCTTGTCGTACTCCTCTAGAAGGAGTGATGGATTCTGTTAGTTGCCCATTTCAATTAATTCTCATGCTATTGTGTTCAAGAGGTTCTCCCTGTTCTACTCCCCGTCGTACTTCTCTTAGAATGAGAGTGTCTTTGAGGAACTCCTATTGTAGTCTGTCATAGGTTTTTTCAAGATCAACTTTGATGATGATCCCACCCTTTTTTCCTTGCTTCTTACGTAGGGTATGCAAAACTTCTTGCAGTATGATAATATTGTCAGTCATTTGCCGCCCTGGTATGAAGCCACTTTGGGTTGGTTCTATGAGCTTTCTCATAAGAGGCTTTAAGCGGTTGGTGATGGCCTTTGTAATTGCTTTCAATCCCACATTATTCAAACAAATAGGTCAAAGCTGAGCAAGGGACTTTGGCTGTTTTTTCTTGGGAATGATCACAATAGAGGATTCCAGCATTTCAGGCGGAAGAGAACCTGTTTCAAAGAAAGTTCTCGCCATATTAGTAAGACTTCTTCCCACTGAACCCCAAAGTTTCTGATAAACCACAACCTGGAAACCATCTAGGCCAGGGGTAGAGAAAGGTTTCATGCCAAAGACTGCTTTGTGAATGTCAAAAATGCTAAAGGGGCGCAGAAGAGTAAGGAGTTCATCTTGACACAATCTTGAGAACTTGTACTTTGACATCAAATCCCGGCAGTGAGGCTCATCTTGTTTGTAGAAAGTGCTGAAGAAGTTCACCACCAGCTCTAAAAGTTTAGTCAGATCATCAATCCAAACCCCAGTGTTGTTCCGAAGAGAGAGTATTATATTTTTTCTTCGTCGTCTGGTAGATTGTTGATGAAAATGTGACGTGTTTTGCTCGCCAAGCTTCACCCATTTCTCTTTAGCCCTTTGATCCCAAACAACTTCCTCCTGGACAAGAAGAGAGTCAAGTTCAGATTCAAGCTTAGCTTGGATTTTGATCAGCCCCCTATTAAAATGAGAGGCTAGCCTGATTTGAACTCCATGAAGCCTGGAAAGGAGACGTCTCTTGTGGTGGAGGAGAATGACAAAAACTGTCTTGTTCCAGTGTTGAAGTTTGGGAGCAATGTCCTTAAGTGCTTGCTGGAGATCCAAGTAAGTTTTCCAAGCTCATGCAAAAAGATCCACAAATTGTTCATGTAAAAGCCATGCTGCCTCAAAGCAAAACAGCTTGCTATTACTATTAGAGAGCGAAATAGGAGTATTGGAAGTGAGCACTGGGAGATGATCCGAATGGATCATTGGAAGATGTTGAAATGAACTATTTGGGAACGACATGTGTCCAACTATCATTGCATAAAGACCAGCCAATTCTTCTGACTTTGTGGGGTTCTTTCTGTCGCTCTTCTAAACCATGTATAGCGCGACCCTAAAAAGCCCAAGTCAAGCAGATTTGCAAAATCCATCCAATTAGCAAAATGTTGACACCGTCGCAAGGCAGCAGAGGAAATCGAGCTTGTTTTCTTAGAAGGGAGGCGAAAGGCATTGAAGTCTCCAGTAACCAGTCAGGGGATGTTGAAACGATCACTGGTTATGCGTAGTTGATCCCAAAGCAACGAATGATATTTGTGATTTGGGCTCCCGTAGACTCCCATTAGAATCTAATCCGACATATAGTTGCTGGTGACTCTAACAGTTATATGATGTCTGCTTGCATCGATGCGGTGAGCCTGAAAGATGTATGGTTTCCAGGCCAACCAAATCCCTCCTTTACGGCCCTCAGCATCCACCTGAAAAACATCTGGAACCCCAATCGGCTGTAAACTGTTGTAGCTCTATCACCACTGATTTTGGGCTCCAAAATAATAAGGAAATGTGGATTATAACTATACACCAAAAACTTGATAGAACATCTAAACTCCTTACTCCCTACACCACAAACGTTCCAAGCGAGAACTTTAAAAATCGATGTTTGTAAACATGGACATAATAAACAAAATATATAAAGAACACAAACTAATCCAGAAAGTGAAAGCCATAGATTAAAGATTAGCAGCTGAGTCGCTACTAAACTCCATGTTAGCCGACAAGGCAATTGTTGGGGCATCCCCCAAATTCTCTGCCATGTCAACATTCCCCAGTTTCCCCTGGCTTGCACGAAATCGCTTTACTTTTGCTGCGATTGAGCAATAAAGTCCTCAATGGCACTGATGGTGATCAGAGAAATGACTTCTTCAACTTATTTGTCAGCTTGCGCTTATTGATAGACACATTGACATGCTTCTTAGTAGCTTTGAGACTGATGCCTCTGTTGAGTTCCTTCACCAGATAACAATCGACTTGATTTTTCCGGTAATGCTTTCTAAAAGAAGAAGACGAGTTTAAGTTGGTATCCCTATATTCTCTTAGGTTAGCCGATAAGGGAGGGATATAAATCAAGTGGATTTTTGTATTTTTGCCCCCAAAACCTTTTGGCTTTCTAGTTCCAGATTCTTGTCGTAGTTGCTTGGCCTGTATGAGCGGTCGGGCTTGTAGTAGACGTAGAAGCTTTCCAAGGCTGGTCCTGAATATCCATAGACTCTCATTGGCCCACAACCCGCCACTCCTTTACGGGCTTGTCCAAAAGCGGCTTTCCACCCGTAGCTTGTCCCTCCATTAAAGCAACCTTCCCTTTTTGTGTCGTTGACGATCCTTTCTTGTTAGTCATCTTCCCATTAGTCTCAGGAGGAGTCGTTGCTCTGTTATCACCTTTCCATTTCAAGGATGATTTTGAAAACTTTCCCAACTTCAATTCCTCCCGTAAAAGAAAAGTTTGCTCCTCTTTCCGAATTAGTAGTTCCCGATTTGGCAGGTTTTCGTGATTTCCTCATAACGTGCATCCATAGTCCAAATCCGGGGGGGGGGGGGGGGGCTCCGCCGAAAGAGATACTTACGAGATTTGTAGTTGATTGGAGCAAGCGCCGTTGGTGATGGCCAGCATTTGATTTGTCTTTGAGGTTGGACAATAATCTTCTAGGTGACCAATTCTGCCGTACTGGAAATAGATTTGAGGGATATTTTCATAAAGCACTTGTTGCCAGAAGCCATCTAACCTTATACACATGGGCAACGGTTTCGTCATGTCAAGTTTGATGGCTAATCTGGTGAACTTCCCACGTTCTAGCTTCTCAGTGTGATAGTCGAGCCTGAACGTCCCCCCAATAAGATTTCCCAAGGCAAAGAGACCTTCTCGGTGATAAAAATGGACCGGTAATTCCGGCAATTGAACCCACGCTACCACCCTCCGGTGAGGCTGTCTGTAGTTCGAAAAGCCGGCGACCACTGATGAACCACCAGGTTGTGGTCTAGGATAACCCAAGGTCCACCCATTAGCGCCCGAAGATAGTCGTGATCATTGCCAAAAGTGACCAAGAAGGTCTAGTTCCTTAAATCCATGATGTCAAGTGAACCCACAAACCGCCATTGCCAGCAAAGTTGGGAACATAGATAAGTGACACGCTAAAACACAACACCAAACTGCAACCAAGTGTAATCGCAGTCCGGAAATGCAGTAACAAGCAAGTTCTAATGTCAACCCGGGGTCTAGATCTACTGCATACTCCGTAAATATCTATTATCTAGCCAACTAAGTCAAGTGATTGTTGATTTAAGTAAAAGCAGTAAGAAAGCAGGAAATGGTTCGGTTTTCTGAAGCAAAGGAAGAGTTACTCGGGAATGAGTCCCCCTAGCTCCTTAGTTAGGTTCCAGTTGTGATTACTTTTGGTTGCTTTACTGCTGATTATACTGCGGAAGATCCGACAGTAGCTTGGAATCTCTTAAGCTGACCTAGCCCTCTCAGTCCAACTACCCGCAGACGACTAGTCTTCACCAAGATAGAAAGCCGAGGCTATGAACACAGAACTCCACTACTGGAATTAGATTCCAGTACAAAGCAGTGAATCGACTAACTCTCGTATAATCGACTCACTACTACCAATTGAAGAAGCTCTAACAACCTAATCAGATTCTATCTATCTCAGGTTGCAGCAGAAATCAATAAAAGGTGATCAGACTTTAATCGACTCATTCAAAACACTTCAATCGATTATAATCAAGCAATATCACAATCCCAACGTAATTACAATCAAGATTCCTAACACATGGAACTAGGGTTCTTCATACACAAGTGAGAGAGAGTTCTACTCCATAGAGAGAGAGGGAAACAGAATACAAAGCAGTCATACTCATAACAATGGGAAGAATCTGCTCTGGGATGTCAATCTTCACTCCTGAGGATGCAATATGGGCTTCAATGGTGAGAAATCCACTCCAAATAGCTCCTAGGGTTTGTTCTTTGCACTTTCTCTCTCTAAGACTCTGTTTTTGCTCCCAAAAAGTCGATTCCCCTCCTTTGGCTCGAAATTGCCTTAAAAACCCGATTCTGGGCGAATTACGGGCTGAATTACGGTCGTAATCATGGTCTGCCCGTAAATCGCCCAAAACGCGCATTTTACTTAGCTATGAGGAAGGGAATTACGGTCGTAATTTCCCAATTACCACCAGTAATTACTGAATTACGATCGTAATTAATGTGACACTTGCCTGTAATTGACTCTGCGACAGGAATTCTGGGAAATTAGGCTCAGCATTGCATTTACGGGCAAGACAGGACCAATTACGACCGTAATTAGTCAGGGTCTGCCCGTAATTTCCATCCTGAACCGCCAAATGAACTCCAAATGACCCGAAACTTGCGCCCATATACCTCTTTACTTGCTAGGACCTGAAATACGACAAAACAACACAACCTAGCATAAAATAGGCCAAGGAACAACAAATTCGAGCTAAAATGGTCAGGGAACAAGAGTGAAAACATGTGCAAATACGACGCTATCAATAAGCATAAGAAACTGATCTACCTAGCTGACGGACAACAGTGTTTTCTTCCACGGGTGACAAAGGCATTTTTTGAATTTTGCAGATATCTTTATCTCCGGCTCTCCACTTAAAGATCCCGGCTCTATGTCATGTTCGCCTACGAAGGTCCATCGATTAGCCTTCGAGGTAGGATTTTGCGTCGATCCAGCCAAAACGTTCGTGTACGACAAAGGCGAGCTCACCGTTGGTATGGTGGTCTACTGGAGTTGCGGAATCGAAGGTTGTATAGCTAAGTCTGGCGGCCGCCATGCTTGAGGCAGGGTGAAACATTCTGATTCTTTTAACAAACTGAAATACACATGGCTCCGGATCCGATTATAAACAATACTCAAGGTTCGATAAAACAATACAACCAAATCATTTCCAACAAAAGTTCAAATAAAATGCCCTAAACACTTGGGCGAACTCAAACCTTAAAGTCTCAACCTTATCTCCAATACATACTCAAATCACAAAGTGCAAAAACTTAACTAAATCTAACTCTGGGTCTTAACTGAGCTCTCGGATACCTCGTCAATGTTGGTGCGGCCGCTTGCCTCGCCCTGCCTCTTCTCGTGATCCACATCCGCTAACCCTTCCTCAACCTGGTGAGTGAGAAGGAGTCAGTCTCGTCGTTACTTTCTAAGGTCTTTGCCTAAGCAAACCTTACCAACACATTATTAGAAATTACTTCCTCTTACATGAAAGTCGTTCTCGCTTCCATCCTTAATACCTTAGTCCTTAATAACTCATAGAAGTTCTCTACTTCTATCTTAACATATATACTTACTAATAGGGTTCACCGCATTACGTATCGCCGTCCGTTGTCCCTTTCCTCGAGGCAATGGTACTGCATTACGTATCGCCGTCCAGTAGTGACCCGACCATCTAGTGCGTTCAGTAGTGGTTGAACCGTCGGGGTTTCATCTTACCATTAACCCTACATTACAAACATACATATCACAACGCGTGCATCCACCTTAAGCACGCCTCACACATAATCGCGATTCTTACAGTGAACATACTCAAATAAAAAATTAACTAGCATTGCTTAAAGTAATTGCATAAATTAAAAAACCCACGATTGAGATATTACCTCTTTACACTGAACATTATTAACCAAATCCCTTCCTCCTGCCATGAGAAACGTATTGTTGGTTTATTAAGTATTAATCAAAAGAGGACTAGTCTTTCCCCTTGCTACCCACGTGAATTCACGCATGCATTGGTTTACAATGTTGATTCTAGCATCACCATAGCCCTATCTCAAATCATACCTCAATGACTCGACTTGTGCATTACACAATTAAGCCAAACCTCATGTGCATCATTTTCACCAACCCGAAGCCCCCGTCGCACAACAAATCCCATGATAAATGACATCTCATATCCAATTAGTAAGCTCAACGAAGGATTGGATTATTTACTCGTAGTGCAAGCGGATGGAGAAGGCAGGCAGAGCAAGACTCCGATCTCTACTGGCAACGACAATGATGATTTTGGAGAGGCTTGAGGGAATTTGACGAGCCGAGAAGAAAGGGTTGAGCGGCAGTTTGTGATTTGTGGCAGCGGAGGAAAAAACAAATGGAAGTTATTCTCCTTGGGCTCATCTAAATGGTGCCGAGTGAGGGTGGGGTAATTAGGTTTAATTGATTCGGGTAATTTTGGGAATTTCACAGTGATTTTGATTCAAAACTCAGTTAACGTTATGCCGTTTGAATTGAGAGTTCACATTTTTAGTCCTCATCGACATTACGGTGAAATTTGACAAATTTATCCAAGGGTATAATAGTTATTTTGATTTTTGGCAAGAGCGAGGTGTAACATTTCCTCCACCCTTACAAAAATTTCATCCCTGAGATTTAGAATGTGTGCTTGGCCTTTGGACTAAGACACCTTGCATTTGATACCACTTGCCTCGACTGGGATATCGCATCCCCCCCCCCCCCCCAACAAGAAAAATTTCGACCTCGAAATTTGTTCATCGTGATAACTCAAAGTCTCACTTGTGCTAATCCTTCTACTACTGGGATTTATACGTCCTTTACCTTGTACGAACTGCAGATATATATCTTTGCCTCCAATTCATGTGATTCTTGGTCGACTGATAACTCACCCATTTCTCATAAACCACTTACTCAGCTAGCTACTTGCTCAATGCGACTATGCCACTGTGGCACTCTTCCTTCATAAACGCCTTTGATACTGTAACGGTTTCTTAGCTCATTTTGTTCTCAATGGATTTTCTTGGGTCTCTACTCAAATTCTTAGGAAATACTAAGGAAATAAATTGTTACCCAACCCTATTTAAGACATGACCCATCGTAACTTCATCCCATAATGCACCCAGACCTTGAACTGCATTCTCAATATCCTGACTAATGACGCCTCTACTTGAATTCTCTAACATAGATATCTATAGTGAATGCTTGACTTGCTTAATGGCTTACTCATAAGTCGGTTCCTAGGTATTGCTTCTTCCCCCCTTGTAGGCCTCATTATTCTCCCTTGGTAACTCCACTTGATACTCAAACTCATTGCCTAATTCACCATATATGGTGCCTTTAGCATGAGTCAATCCCTTATACATCCCTATTGATGTTCTTAATACCCCTTTCGAACCCTAAGGTTAGTGATGGCGGCCTATACTCTTCCTTGTAAGGTCGGAAACCCATTTAATGTAACTCTTATTTGTGGTTGACCACGTAAATCTCCCATGTCCTTGTATATTTCAAATTTGCATCTTTTACTTCCTTTCTTTGGTGCCTCGAGTTATCCTTTAACCATCAACTGAATGGTCACTCCTCGTCCCCTTTCCATGCGTTAAAAAATTCATGATCCTTCCAAGGATCATGATATTCTCTTGGATTTATTCTACTTCAAAATTTTCCCTTGCTTCTTTAAGAATTACACTCGTTGTAGTCCTTTAGGTTCCAATATGTCTTTCCTCCCTTAAATGCCTTGAACCTTAAGGATTTCATCTCTGACATATCGAGATGAGCTTAATTCCACCTTAAAGTTGACCACTGAGCTTCTCAATTTTTTATGGGCTCCTGTAGTCCAACTTTTTCTCCGCTGGCAATCACCTTAACGCTTCCTTGTTGTCCTTCCTATCTATCATTCTCCCTAAATCCTTCGTCCTGTCGACTACCACCTTTTTACTATAACTTTCATTATAAATTGGTGGTGCCCTCCTTACTTCCTTAATTCCAAAACTCCTTCATT